CACAGGGTCACAAGGTGAGAGAGCGGCGGAGCCAGCTTCCCACAGCCCGGAGCACCCCTCCCGGCGTGCAGTCCGCCGCCCCACCTCCTCCGATGTCCGGGGCCCGCAGAGGGGAGTACCGGTGTGCTGGGAGAGGAGTGGCCAGATGCAGACAAGCCACAAGGCAATGCCCTCTTATCTCGGCCTGCCTTCACTCCTACCTCAGGGATGAGACAGCCCCCGCGGGCCCCAAGCCAGTCACCGGAGCATCCCCCAGGGCTCCGTCTCTCCTGCCCAGACCCAGCTGCCCTGATGATGCCGTCACACAGCACATGGCTCGAATGCCTGAAGGGACTTCTCCAGTCGTTTGTAATAAAAGAAAATCCAGGATGACCTACATACCCATAGCAGGAGGCTAACAAAAAACCACGGGCACATGCAGGACACGCAGCAGAACGCTGACGACGCAGCGGCTGTGTCCTGCGATGGGGTACAGTGACTTCGAGTGAGGGGCGCTGCAGTGCCACCACCATGTGGAGGGGAATGTCGCACAAACACAGAGCCCAAGGTAGTTCTCTGCAAGTGACTGCCTCGTCACCAAAGAAAGAGGCACTCTTCAAGGACAAGAGCTGGCAGACATTGCCCCAGTCGAGCGGCCAGTTCACATCGTCGCTGCCAACACAGACCCACACGCACCTCCTGCTGCCACCAAGAACACAACTCTCCCAAAAGCAGTACCCACACCTCATTGGGTGGACACATCAGACGAGTGCAAACAAGGCACATTCCACAATGTCAAGATCAAATACAACTGGCGTGCGCACTTCGAAACATCAAGGTGGAAACACAAACACAGCCCCAGCCTGACGGCACAGTGAGCAGCAAGCTGACTGCAGGGCTGGAAGCCACGTAGCAACCGCTGTCTGATCCCCGGGGTCCTGAAGACACTGGGCACACACGTGTGCTCCAGGTCCTGAGGAAGGAACGACGGCATGAGAAGGCCCTGGCAGAGGTACTTCTGTCTGTCTCTCTCGCTCGCTTTCTCTTCCTCCCTCCCTCCCTCCCATGCACACACAAGAACTATTGTGAATAAAATATACTTAAAAAAAATACAAAGAAAAGCTGAGTTACCGCCCAGAGTGACAGAGACGGTGGATGAAATGCATGCGCCTCCTCTGGCTTCGGGGCTAGGAAGGAGCTAGCGAGGGCACCACAGGAAAGCCAGGCACAGCGCGGACACGGGCCGTGGGCATGATTAGTCACGTGGGTGCAGCCGCGGCCGCGCACAGAGAGCGGAATGCGCGAGAGGCCGGGGACGCACGGAGGCTCAGTGGCCTGGCCGCCCTGCACCTGGCCCCAGCTTTCACACTCGCCTGCATGCTAGCCGAGAGGCTGGCAGCAGGGTCACAGCTCCATGAGACCCAGTCAAAAGCATTTCTCTCGGGTCAGGTTGGGCGGCGCGGTGGAGGCAGCTAGATCCCGCCCAGTCAATTGCACAGGCTAAGCCGCAGGCCCAGCACCTTGAGAAACACTCCAGTCGCACGTGCAAGCGTGCCCACAGTCCCAACAGGATGGAGAAGCGAATGAAAAGAGCTTGCAGTATGACCACTCCTCATGCGGGGCTTTCTCTCTCCAGCAAGCATGCACACCCTCTGGCAAAATGTTTGCTTAAAAATACTTCCGTCTCGGGACCAGCAGTTAGCATAATGGCTATGTCGCTGGACTCCCATGTACTTGACCGTGGTTCGCGTCCCGGACCCGGTGGCTTAAAACTCACACCAGGCGTGTGTGTGTGCGTGCCCAAGATCCCGAGAGGAGAATGGAGGAGAAGGGACTGCGACGTGACCATCCCCCCTGGGGCGTGATTTCTCGCTGTCTGTCTCTCTCTGTCTGGTGAGTGCACGTGTCCTAGAGTGAAAAAATCTCTCCAAAAAATAAATAAATACTTCCCTCTCTTGCTCTCGCCCCCTCTCTCCCTCTCTTTCACACAAAGGTAAATGACTATTATCAAGATGGTAATGCATCAGCGTTCAGTTTCCTGGTTCCCCCACATCTGTGCTCTCGGGAAGTACAGCTGTGCCCCGAGTAGTTAAGGGGTACATATCCCACTGAGGCGAGCAGCTCAGAAAGAATGCACACGGGACAGGGCAGAGACACAGTGTATACAACCGGGGCTCCGAGTGGGGGCTGCACGCACGCCTCTTGTCCTAGTCTTGAGACTTTTCTGAAAGTAGAAACTACATCAAAATGGAAGTTTGTAACGGAGTCAGCCAGGTGGCATGATGGTTGAGGTGAGTGTATCCCACATGACTGACTGAGCAGTTCGAGTCCCAGACCTCGCAGTTTGAAATACACATTGGACACGTGCAGGCATGCCCGAAATCCGGAGAGAAGGATGGAAGAGAAGAGACTGTGGCAAGGCCATCTCCCGTGAGGGGTGATTTCTCACCTTCTCTCTCTCTCTGTCTCACCAGCAAGTATCCACAGCATACAGCAAACAAACAAAAAGAAGTTTTGAACAATACATACATAGGCCATCCCTGGAAGGAGCCACCTGGACAGAAAAGGGAGGGGAAGTGGAGGATGGGGACAAGGCTGGGAACCAGGAAGGGGACTGACTTTCACCGGACAGCCTTCCGTAATGTACGCATGTGTCACTGACTCTGAGACACAGCTAAGAAAGAGCCCGCTGCGAGAACTGTTCAGAACTGGGGTGCGTGGTGCTGGCTCTGCCAGCTTGTCCTCAGCGTCCGCCTCCCAAGCAGGAAGAACTCCCACTCAGGGCTGCTCATCCACGTGCCCTACTCGCCACCTCCTGGCCATGCTGGGGATTGCACTCCCTGCTCTTCCCAGCTCTTAAAGCCACTCCAACACACTGCCCGTAACTGTCTTGTTCACACATCTGTCCGACCAGGCGAGCACACGGCCACATCTCGGTTCTCCTAAAAGCCCCAGCACCTAGCAAACACGTAGCAGAGTAGCACTCAAGAAAGCTGAGATGCATAAATGGAAGAACTAGATTCCCTGGGAATTCAACAGATGGACTTGAAAGCAGGTGTAAGTGGGAGGGAGGGGCTCGGGGGAGACAAACAGAGCATTTCACGACACAGAAGCCACGTTATCTATGGGTGATGCCGTAGACAGTCGTGTCTCTGACTTGACTAACACGCACCATATTCACATTGGGAAAAACCACGCTGTACACTGTACAGATGGGCGGTGATTAAACGTAAATTAATTAATTTGATTTTTAAAAAAGTTGAAAAAGCAAGCGTATTCCTCAGAGCTTGCCGCTCAGCGCACGCACGGTTGCTCTGGTGCCTCGAGGCAGCTCACCCTGGAAGCGCTGCACTGGGCCATAACCCTGCTTGCCTGTCCCCACCCGCCAGGCCCTGCTTGGTCTTCTGTGGCGCTCATGTATGTCACGCTCCATGGCGACGCCCTGCCCCTGCCCCATTGCCACGGCTCACTCCGCAGCTCAGCCCAGACAGCTGGTCTGGCCCGCAGCTACTAATCCCATGCCTGAGCCACTGTCTCCGGGGCTCGGTGAAGGTCCAGGACGTCACCCAGCTTGCTTCGGAGAGCTCACAGACGGCGAGAAGAAAGCGCAGCTGGGCCTTGAGAAGAGACCCGACGCCGCAGCTCACACACCAGTCAGTCATCGACGCACGTGGCCACTGTCCTAGCTGGGTGACCCAGGGGTCCGAACACGCTGGCTACTCACACAACTCGTACCTGGCCACGTGGGCATCATGGAAGTACACAGAGCCCTTCAAGAACACGACCGACTTTAGAATCAAGAACAACAGCTGGTGCCGTGCAGCTGCGGGGACTCACCGAGGTCCGTGTTGGGGCCAGCGAGCAGCTGTTGGAACTTGTCGAGCCGGGACGCCTCTCTCTCACTCAGCGCTGAGCTGCCGACGGCACTCGGGTCCGGCGTCCCCCCGAGCGTGATGGCGGCCGAGTGTGGGAGAGACTGGGACCTCTGCAGTGGGACGGCATCGCTGGCACTTTCTGCAGAGGGCGAGAGGACACGGAGTGAGGGAGCACCTGTCCACGTGGTCCTCCCTCACCGAGGCCTCGCACTGCTGTGCCCGTCCCCGTGAAAGCTGCCAGGTCACAGATGCCTGTCTCTCCCACCTCTGAGCAGGGGCGCTGGTGTCTTGACGGACACTGGGAAGTCAGCGGCCTCATCAGCTGAGTACTTCTCAGCAACATCCCGTGCAGAGTGGAATGTGACATCAGAGAAGTGCAGGCCACCTGCCTGTCCAGGGAACCATGGTCGGGCTCCCGAGTGCCAGGTGCCAGGGCATGTGACCTGAGAGCCTGAGCACGGGAGGCAGCGTGCCGAGTCACTGGTGAAGGGGAAGGACGAGTGTGAAAGGCACTGAGGACAGAGGCCAAGGCCAGGACACACCATCACCAGGCCGGGACAGACGTGCCCACCTCCGGTCTCCGAAGCATGTCGGATGCACTGCCTGCCCACCCTCACCATGCCTCACGGTAGCCCTGGGAGGGAGGCTGGCCCATCAGCAAAGAAGCCAGGCAGGTGAGGGACAATGCCCACCAGATCCCACAGGCAGGCAGCAGCATCACCAGTGTGCAAGTCTGCCCGCCCCTCCCTGGGTGTGCCATCAGCTGCTATGCACCAAGGCCCCACTGCCCTGCGAGATGGAGTTAGGCCAGGGACCTGGGACAGCCAGAGGAAAGATCCCAAGGCCCTTAGGCCTTGACACGGCCACCCAGGGCCAACAAGAGGCTCAGAGGGCTCTGAGCTCCTGAGTCTAAATCCCACCCAGCAATGCCTGAAACCCAAAACCTAACATAAAATGAAAACTCCAAGACACAGCTCAGCTCAAGCCCAGCAGCCCAGGAGATGGGAGTGCCACGCTCCCTCGTTCCATAGCCACCCGACCCTTCCACACTCCAGATAGGAAAGGCTGCACACGGGCACCTCAGCTACCCAGGAGCCGGGCCACCTGTGACCTGGTGACATCTCCAAAGAAGTCTGCTAACGTGGGGCCAGCAGTTAGTATAATGGCTATGTCGCTGGACTCCCACGTAGTCGACTGTGGTTCGCGTCCTGGACCCGGTGGCTTAAACTCACGCCAGGCATGTGTGCGTGCGTGCGTGCCCAAGATCCTGAGAGGAGAACAGAGGAGAAGGGATTGCAGCATGGCCATCCCCCCTGGGGGGTGATTTCTCACTTTCTGTCTGTCTGTCTGTCTCTGTCTGTCTGGTAAGCGCATGCGCCCTATAGCAAAAACCTCTCAAAACAAAAAAATAAAAAGTCTGCTAACGTGAGATGCAAACTTCGGAGCCCTAACATCTCCCCTTCCCGCATGATCCCACTTTCTGCCCCCCACTGGGAGGCCAGTGTCCAGGGCACATCAGCTTGCCTCAGAGAGGTGAGCAGGGACGAAGAGGACTTGTCCTCGGCCCCCCGCCTGCACTGCCCAACAGTGACCCCGAGCTGAAGGTAAGCCGGCGACAGGTCCGCCCACGTGGGATGCAATCAGCGCCTCATGAAGGGAGAAGCTTGTCCATGTGGCAGGACTGGATGGTGCCCACGGGGGGGACACTCTAGGATGTGCCAAGTGCCAATGCTGTCCACATGGCAGTGATGTAAAATGGAACCGGGGCTGGCCTCCAAGCGAGGAGGCCCAGGCCCTGGCAGGGATCACGAGGGTGCTCTGCGTGGGCCTCGTGGCACTTACACAACCACGCAAGACACCAAGGAGCAACAGAGAACCCAGGATGTGGCCTCTGCCTTCGGGAACCTCCCTAGGACATGGAGCCAGACCAGACGACGAGCTGCCTGCAGCTGGGAGAGCCTGCCCTCTGCCCTGGGAACCCACACACACACCCACATCCCCCAAAGCCTTCTCTACCTTACTGGACGACACAGAACCCACCCCCTGCTTGCTCCTGGATCCTGTCCACTCGTCCACTGGCTGGTCCCCACGCCACGATCTGCAGTCCCTGAGAATAAGCATGGAAATGTGTCCTCTTCACGCCACCACCCAACTCGACCAGGTGGCTGACAGGAAGCCAGGCCTGGGGACTGACCACCACAGGTCTTCCCCCACACTACATCCCTGCATTCCTAGAGGAAGGGGGGCCTCTGGCTCCAGACAGGGACAGCTGGGGCAGGAGCATCCTCTGTGCAGGCAGGAGCCATCCTGGGCTGGCCTTGCTCAGCCATGACAACCAGAACTGCCCTAGACACACGCTAGCAGGGCCACTCCACTATGCTGAGGACTCCTGCTCTATACAGATGGCCAGGGCTAACAGCAGGGACCCTCGAGTCAGGCACCCTGGGTGTGAACCCCAGCGCCCCACTTGGTGTGCAGCTCTGGGCAAGTCCCGACTCCAGCGTGCCTCCATTGGAAAAGGAGTCACGACGATTCTCATCTCCCGGTGCTGCCGCAAGTGACATGCGCTTCTCACCACACGGGCTTGTGGCATCACCTGCCACATGGCGAGCTACAGGCAGACGCTGTTACCACCACTGGACTTAAGCGCTCGGAAGTCTGGCCCAGAGCACAGGGAGGAGCCGGCTCCAGGCAGCTGGAGGCACAAGGCAGAGCAGCCCAGGCAGGTGAGGGACAATGCCCAGTCCTGAGCTGCCCGGAGCACCTCGGTCTCGCTCCTGCACAGGTAGCTGCTCGCAGCGGTAACCCATGGCTCTGGCCTGGCAGGTGTGGCCTGCGCTTGCCTCTGGTCAGGACCACCCTCCAAGGCATTCACCATGTGGACAGACCACTCCAGGCAGGCTCAGGACCACCACTAGCCACGGCAGTGTCACGGAGGCACTGTCCCGCCCCGGGTGAGAAGCCGTCGACATGGCTCACCAAGCTTCAGCCTCAGCCCAGCTGTAAGCTCGTGAGTTCGGGCTCTGCCCACACGGAGGATGTGGTGGGTGGGAGGGCACGCTGCCTGAGATGGGCGCCCAGGAGGCACCAAGTGTGCACCATGATCAGCCGCCAGAGCGCTCGGTCCTGCAAGGCCACAGCCAGATTCCCACTGACAGTGCAAACACTTGACAGCTTTAGATTCCGATACGAGAACTGGCCAGAGGGCGTGACTCACAGCCCGCACCAGGAGAGACTAGCAACTTCTGAAGTTCATCAGTTCCTAGAAGTGGGGGGATAGTTTTGGAGATTTTTGTTCTTTTAAAGATTTTTGTTATAGGGTGAGTGTGCTCGCTGGAGACACACTGAGAGGGAAAATGAGAAATCACCCTCCGGGGGGATGGTCATGCCACTATCCCTTCTCCACTTTCCCCTGGGGTTTTTGGCTGACATGTATATACACCTCACATGATTTTCAGGCTTCTGGGCCTGGGACTCCAACTGCAGTCAGCCAGTGAGGAGTGCAGCGCCTCTCCCACGACACCGCTTGCTGACTCCCTAGCAGTGTTTTGGAAACCAGACCCAGGTACAAACCCTCGGCCTGCACCTGGTAGCAGGACAAGCCTGGGCTGCCCAGATGATGTCTGTTCTGGCACCTGCGATGTGAGGTGAGCAGCCCAGGCCTGGGCAGCCATGCAGAGGGACGAGAGCCCTGCTTGCTGGCTGGGCCCTCTCCGAGGCCTCACCTCCTTGGCTCACAAATGCCGATGCTCAGGGTACAGCTTCTCAGAGAGGACACCCGACCTCCCAATTTTGATGACCACTCATTCCAGCCCTGTGACCCCGCCTCTGTCCTGACCCACAGCACTTGCCACCTCCTAGCACATCCCACACACCTCCAGACAGTCGTACGCAGTTCAGCGTCCGCCTCCCTCACTGAAACAGACTTCCCGCAGGCTAGGACGCACATCTGGTCTACACTGGGTGCCCTGTCCTAGACAGCGCCCTCAGGCGCTCACTGAGTAACCGCGGCTGTGCGGCTCAGGAGGAGCGAAAGTCACCACAGCCTCAAGAACGAAAGTCACTCCAGCCAGGACACAGACACGGCCTGCCCTTGAGGACTCAACTTCCTTCCAAGCACAGCAATCCCACCCATCCAGCCCGCACCCATGTGCTGGCATCCCCGTGGGCACCAGAGAAGCTGCCTAAGGAGGCCCAGCCCGCAGCCTGATCCCGCGGTGGGAGACGTCAGCTACCGCGATGGACCACCACACACTGAGCACAGGTGTACTTAGGAGGTAGGTCCCAAGCCCAGGAGCTCACCTGTGGCCCTCTCAGGACCAGCCCACTGAAGACGATGAGTGAGCCAACAGGACACAGGACAGCTCACAAAGCACCAGGAGGACGTGCGGACTGCTCCTCCCACCGGGGGATGCTGCGGATGCCCAGGGTGACCCACGGGCCCTCCCGGCCTTGAGTCTCGTTCCTGACAAGGAGGCACTCTCTCGAGCTTCACCATGAGGAGACACAGCTCCCCTCCCCACTCAGCCCGCCCCTCCTACCTGCAGGACAGGACGTGTGGCTCTCGCTGACAGACTTCACCAGCCGCAGGTCTCCGCTGGGAGCAGGAGGCGGCTCAGCCGCAGGCTTCGGCTCCTGCGCTGGCCCCACCACCTCCTGCAGCACAGGACGCCCCTGCTGCTGGCTGTGGTTGCGCAGGACACGGCTGGCCGTCTCCATGACCACCGCGCTGTTGAGGCTCTCCGCCGCCATGGCCAACAGCTCATCGTCCTCTCCCGCATCCCAGGCGTCACTGGTGTTGCTCTCAAACTCCTGGAAGGTGCTGACCCTCTTGGCCTTGAGCGGTGTGGTCGGCACCTTGGGTGTGGGCTTGAGCAAGCTGCGAGGCAGAGGCAAAGGTGGTCTTTATGAGCACTCGCCCCAGACTGGCTGAGAAGGACTGCCCAGGGGAGATGACGCAAGGTTTGCAGCCTCACTCTAATACAGCTGACAGCGAAGTAAAAACCAAACCCAATTCTGAGAGACGTTTGAAACGAGACCGGGCTCGGTTCCCCGGACTCAGCGAGAGCAGCCCTGAGGCAAGGACTGCGGTGACAGCACTCAGACCTATGCCCAAACTCACGGTGGCCACTGCCAGCAGACACCCTCACCTACCCAGCCTCTTTGCACAGCTCCCTGCAAAGAGGAGGGTGTGGGTGGGAGGCATGCAGAGATACGGACTTGGAGACATTATCATTTGAAAATGACCAGCTGCCACCTCAGTCCCACTGCGTGTCAGGATGCTTGTCAGAAAGGCACGGTGCTGCAGCTCTACCAGCCCCACACTGGGCCCCACACGCTCCGCTGCCCTGCTCAGAGGGACAGCCACAGGCAGAGCAGCCACAGCAGCTAGGTGGAGAGTGCGGCAGAGAGAGAGGGAAACGTGTGAGCCGGGAACGGCCCGGCCCAGAGCTGGCTGCCTGTAGGCTCAGGCCCAGCTGTGTGCTCTCCTGCAGGGCTCCACGCTCCCCAGGTCGGGCTGCAGCTTCCACTTGCACCTTCCCCACAGAGGTGTGCTCCATGGACACAAAGCAGCTGTGGGTGCCGAGAGAGAGCCCACGTCCCACCCAGACCAGCCAAGCGGCAGTGGGCAGTGCTCACTTACGTGCCATGCAGCAGCGGGTCAAAAGGGGGGTGCTGGGCTCCGTACACGTGCTGGATGCTATTGGAAGGGAAGGGTAGACAGGTTAGCACCTGCAGCACTGCCAAGGCCCACTGCTAACCCAGGAAAGGGCCAGATGCTAGGAACCCTCATGACTGCAGAAAGGGCCCTCTATCAGTGGCCCCACATCCCTCTAAGCCACCCACGGCTCTGAGGGCCTGGTCCAGAAGGGATGAATGGTGCCATACAAGCCCACACCCCGCACACAGGCGGGGCATTCAGGCCCTCCCAGAGACAGGCCTGGGTACAGGAAGCCACAGCTCTGTAAGCAGCACCCCGGGTGCAGCCGACAGCAGTCACAGGACCTGTGGGTGCATCGGGGAAGTTTCTGCACTCTCCACTCGTGGGCCATAATCACAAACATGCTTAGACACGGAACAAGATCCACCAGATTCTGGGATCAGTTCATCTGAAGATGGAAGGAAGAACTCCAAGGAGAACGTAATACAAGTTAACAGATTCCACGACTTCCACGGCGGGCAGGGCGACGGGCCAGGGCAGTCTGCAGAGGCTTTGGTGGACTGTCATCCCACCCTGGACTGCCTCCCTTAGACTTCCAAGTGCCTGAAATGAACAAATCCATTTGCCGAGGCCACTGTGACGGTCCACGTGAGGGAGAGAGCCACTGTGACACGGCGACACAGTGCCTGGGGGTGGGAGGCGGGTACAGGATGGGAAACGCGGACAGGAGGGTTAGGTGCATGGCAAACAGGTGAAGGCTTTCTTTTTAAATTGGAATGAAATCCTACCTTCTTTACTAAGAACACACCGTGACTATTTCCCTGTACCATCGCTTTATCTGCAACTCACTGAAATCACTCCTTTACTTTGGGAGTACTGCAGATACATAAAAAGAGCACATAGCGAATGTAACTTTAAAAGCACAATAACAAGGTGAAGAGCAACAGACCTCCCTAGACATTGCTCTGCAAATATGTGTTATTTCAAAACAAAACATGTTTTTTAAAACCGCAAGAATAGAATGACCACCAGCCACCTCGTCAGTAGCCCGAGCCATCCCTCTAGGCTAGCCCACCTCTGAGGTCACACTGTCCCACACTCGGCTAAAATTTGCCAATAACCTGCTTAACCAAAGTTGACCCGAGGTATTAACTTCCTTGAAGTTCTCTGTGATTCCAGAAAAGGCAAGGGCCATGTCTGGAGATGGATCCTGGCACACAGCTGACCCTCTTCAGATCTCCTCCCTAGGAGGGACGGGCCGGGCACACACGTGCGTTGGAGGAGGCCGAAGGGCTGTGCTCACTAGCTCAGAGCCTGCCAGCAAGGCTGCATAGGAAGAGCAGGCCTGGCGTCCTCGACCATGCGTGAGGTTGGCCGCCTGCCCTTCATCTGTACCTCTTCTCTGTAAATCAGTTGTCTGTACCTTCTAGTGGGGTGTTCACCCTTTCTTTACTGATCTGTAAAAATTTCTTCATAAACAGAACATTCTCTCTTGGTCATTCAGCTGTGGTTGGCAAAACAGCCCCACCAAAAGTACTGAGTATTTATACGAAATGTGGAGCCCCACCATGCCCTAAAGCCTGGAACCTGTAACTGTGTCACCTTACACAGCAAAGGGGACTTTGTGCAGACCCTGAGGGGCCAGCAGGCGGTATGGAGAGTAAGCCACTGGACTCCCACATAGCTGACCGTGGTTTGAGTCTGGACCCAGTGGCATGAAAGTCACACAAGGCACATGTGCATGAGTGCCCAGAATCCCAAGAGGAGAATGGAGGAGAAGGGACTGCAGTGTGGCCATCCCCCCTGGGTGGGAGGGTTTTCTTACTTTCCCTCTCACTGTCTCTCTGGCAAACGCATGCACAATATGGCCAAAACTTAAAATAAATAAATAAGTAAATAAACAAACCTCGAGGGGCATTAACCAGGTGAGCCCTATCTAATCACCGGTGCTTAATTCTAGGTGAGGCATTTTCCCAGCCAAGGGCAGGAGACGTTCCTGTGAAGGCTAGAGAGAAGCAGCACCTCTGGTTTTAAGGCAGAACAAGGGCCACAAGCCCAGGGAAGTGGCACCCCAGATACACGAACGACCAAGAGATGCACGGCGTCATTAGGGAAACCAGAGCCACAATGAGGAACTCCGTCACACACACTAGACAGCTAAAATTAAAGAGAGAAATAACAAATGTTGGTGAGAAGAGAATACAGAAAAACCGGAACTCTCGCACACTGCTGATGGGAATAAAAACTGGTGCAGCCCCTTTGGAAAATGGGCTGGTAGTTCCTCCAACATGTGGATACTCTCCACGTAGCCAAGGAGTTCCTGCTGGCACGGAACGACGTGACGTGCACACAGAACCCTGTACGCAGAGGTCACGCCAGCCTTACAACAGCCAAAGGCAGAAGCAGGCTAATGTTCCCACTGGTGAACGGACGGGCAGAGTGCTGTACTCTGCACTGGGACACCTGGCCGGTACAGTGAAGGACTGACATGGGCAACATGGATGAACCTTAGTAACAGGCCATGTGCAAGGGGGCATCATCAAAAACTACGTATTAAGTGACTCCACTTGTTCACTGTCTAGGAAAGGATTAGCTGCTGCATGGGAACGAGGGAAGAGAGCTGGGGTGCCCGGAGGACGCAGGGGGTTGAGACGAGAAACGTGTTCTAACATTGACTGTGGCGATGGTCACACAACTCTTAATACACCAAAGCCATTGAGCGGTACCCATCAAATGGGTAAATGCTGTAGTGTGCAAAACCTAACGGAGACGTGACTTCCTAAGAGGCGCCGCGGCTTCCTCCTGGCTCTCTTGGCCCGGGTACACGGCACAGCTGACGGCACAAGCCAAGGGCCCGGCCGGCAGCCTAGGCAGTAAGTGAACCCGCCTCTGATGCTCCAGCTCTGTCTTTCGAGTCTTCCCAGTGAAACCCCAGGCATCACGGAGCAGAGATGTGGCACCCCCACTGTGCCGATTTGAATTCTGACCCACAGAATCCCCATCAAATGCTGGCTATATGCAAAAACAAAAGTAAATCAAAAAGGTTACAGCATGCTCAGATCATGCACAACCTACATGTCATGTCCTTTTCCTGAAATTTCATGAGGCCTCCTTGACATTAGTAGAAAGCTTCCCGACTTAAGAATCAAAAGATCAGGTGCAGTCAAGCACAGTGGTGCACAGCTGCAAGTCCAGCTACTAGGCAGGTTAGGGCAGAAAATACCATGAGTTCAAGGCCAGCCTGAATGACACAGCAAAACTCTGCACTGAGGAGAAAAAGAGGGGCCAGCAGGTGACAAGGAAGTTAAGGTGTTGCATCCTACATGGCTGGCTGCACGGTTCAAGTCCTGGAACCAGCAGCTTGAAAATCATGCAGGGCACATGTGCATAGATGCCTAAAATCCCAAGAGGAGACTGGAGAAGGTATTTCAGTGTGGCCATCCCTCTTTGAGGGTGATTTCCCTTTTCCTCTCTTTCTGTCTCTCTTTGGTGAGCACATGCACCCTATAGCACAAAGAGAAAGAAAGAGGGAAAGACAGAGAGATGGAGGGAGGAGAAGGAAGTGGAGGAGGAAGAGGAGAAAGAAGGAAGAGAGAGAAGGAGAAGGAGGAGAAAGGAGGAGGAGGAGAGAGGAGGAGGAGAGGAAGGAGGAGGAGAAAGAAGTCCAGGTTTAATTCCCAGCTCCAATGCTTACAAGCTGGTAAAGCTTCAACCAAGTAATTGGTAATTGCCTGAGCTTCAGCCTCCTCATCCCAGAAATGGTTAGTTACAACGTGTTCGAAATGAGATACACATACGATAGCACCTTGAATACGGTGAAATGACCTCCAAATACCGTTTATCAATATTATTAATCTATCTTTACCTGAACATTCACATTCTTCCTATTATTCCCCAATATACTTACATGGCTCAAAACCGGCAGGCAGTCTGGCCTGCGGCCCACTATTTGCATGTCATTTTCATAAGATCTTTGCAGCATTATCACAGACTGCAGGCCTTCCCTTCCAGGGTAGCTGCAAACTCATTAATTCTTCATGGGCAAACCACTTATGTTTATTGAGCAGAAAATGTTCCAACGAAGTTCAAGCTCAGACTAAAAGGAAACTCATTTTATCTTATTAAAATTGCATTTTTATTTGGTCTTGCATAGCTAAAAAAAAAAAGGCTTCAACTAAAGCTATTTTAAAAAAAATAAGTGGCAACTAACCCATCTACCTCATTCAGATAATGAAATTTTTCTTTTAAAAAGTATGTTAACCAATAAACTTTTTTATAAATTATACAGCCTCAAAACACTAGTAATCCACTGTTTTAAAGAGAACTCTTGTGGTTCCTTTTTCTTTTTTTCTTTTTTTTTTTTTTTTGGAGAGGTTTTTTTTTCGCTATAGGGTGCGCGCGCTCGCCAGACAGAGAGAGACAGAGAGACAGAAAGCAAGAAATCCCCCCCCAGGGGGGATGGTCACGCCGCAAGCCCTTCTCCTCCATTCTCCTCTCAGGATCTTGGGCATGTACGCACACGCACCCGGCGTGAGTTTTAAGCCACCAGGTCCGGGACTCGAACTGCAGTCGACTATGTGGGAGTCCAGCGACATAGCCATTACGCTAACTGCTGGTTCCAACCCTTGTGATTCCTCATGGAAGGCAGACACATATAATTCCACTGACTCATAGATAACGTAGAAACACCTTCGGCATAAGTCCACAAGGAGGCAGGGTATACGATGTACGTAATTCAAAAAGGAAGAAAGGGAGGTGCCCACATCAACCAAGTGATAAACACACACACTGGAATATATACATATATATACATATAGACTGGAAAATACACATACCATAGAATACTACCCACAGCAAACACGATTGAACCAGTGACCAGAATCGATGTAGATAAATTTCACCAACAGAACACTGAGGAGAAAAGCAAGTTTAATAATACACAGGATGACATCCTTATAACATCTTTTAATACAGAATAATATTTCATGTCATTTTTGATAGATACATGAGTGATTAAAAACCATCTACTGCAGGGACCA